ATTCCTCCCACTGGGACCATATGACAGGGCTCCTTCTTCCTCCTCACATTCTCATAAGCAAGAAGTTAACACGGACCCAATGAGGGTTAACAGAGAGATACGTGACATGATGTGCATCGCTATGTTGCACGCACTAAAATCAAGTGACACGATGTTTAGCCACTCATAAAAGGCACGAAACACAAGACGTGACATGTCTTCCTGAAACAGGATTTGGAGCATCAGTTAGTTAGACCAACATAGCATAGGTATCGATATCAACAGTGAATACCAGAGTTCACCGGCCAGGCTCTTCGGCCGCAAAACCTGGAGAGCATTTGGCCTCAAGACTATAAGCAAATAAATGAGACATAAGTAGAAAGCATGAAGACAAGGTCAGGATCATTCATTACTGCTTACGTAAAGGCTACAAATTGAAAGATGTCAACACTCAACACAAGTTACGGTCATTTAGCTAATAAATAACTGACCACCTAAGGTTTCACACAAAGCAATAGATCTTAACTGTGTGTGATTTAAGGGGGTAAGAAACTCTTGTTACACTTGACTTGAGTTTAGCAATAGACGTTTTTGTGATCATTTAATGAATCTGAACAAAACAAACCAATTTTGTATAATATTTACATGCAAATATTTGTGGCAGAATGACTCAGATTGCACAAAAAGTAGTGCAATCAGGTTAAAAAGACTGTGATGAATTCAAAAACTTATGTGAATGTGTTCTGATTGCATCCAATCAGAGCATTCCTCTCATGTTATCTGCTGTAAGACTGAATAGAGGAGGTGACGTGCATGGACATCCACAGATCCATCGTGCCTGGTGCACACGGTGCTGAAGTTTAGTTGACACACACGAGGCACCTGAGTACTGCTGCTGCTGCTTTCTTTTAACAACCAGGCACACTTACGCACTGCTGCGAACCAGGACAGTCCCTCCATGACCCTTTGACCAGGTGTCAAGTGTTAACTTTCCACTAAATCAGGAAGCACCTGCTGTTTCAACATGTTTACAACGACTGACGGGATTTGAATTCACTGGAAAAACAAACAACAAACTCCAGGAACACTTATAGAGGAAAAGCTGAAAACCCCTATTTGTTGTCTCCTCATTATTTTCATTCATGTTATTATCGGTTTGCTCGTTTAAATGCGATGTATTCTTGTTTTCTTGTAAAGCTTTTTGAGCTGCATCTCTTGAAAAGTGTATTAAAAAAAAGTGCTGAATAAATAAAGCTTTTCTTAGTATAGAACGACTTTATTGTCGGTTGTGCCGGTGTTTTACGAAACCTAATTGTGCCATAAAAAGTCTAGTAAAACGTTTGGCCATTATGAAATCAACAGGCTATAAGATTGTTAAGCAAGCATGACAACATCTTGCTGGATCTTGAAGAATTTAAGGCTGCCCTAAAGGAAAAAACGAAAGATCGGGTGACTTAGGAGCAGCGTTGAAACCAACGTGATGAGGTAAGTCTTTCTGAAGGTTTTAGAGTGGAAAAACATGTTGCATGATGGTCCAAAGCACTAGAGCAAATGAAACACTGCAGCTGAATCATTCCTGAATCCCATCTGTCGACACTACAGCAATGACATACTGTATTATTAAGTTACATTCACATCACAAACAACAACTTATTATTTCTCATTGAAAACATGCTTTTTCGCCTGAAGATTGACAGATGTAGTCCTGCAGTACATCTGTCAGGAGATGTTTTACAGGGTTTCAATTAAAGACAACTGTAAAATGATGACGTCACAATGCTGGGGGATTTTCCAACACTTACAGCAGTCCATTTTTGATGAATATGTGTTGAAGTCACCTGGGCTCCTTACAAACAAGCCCAGCCCACAGGACTAGAGTTCAGAGAGAGAGAGAGAGAGAGAGAGCGAGAGAGAGAGAGAGAGAGAGAGAGAGAGAGATAACAAAGTAATCCTTGTAACCCTGTGTGACTGAGAGCAAACTGAGCAGGGGGTTATTATAAGAACTCTCGTGCTTCAGGCTTAAAAATGAAAAACTGTCTTCATAAAAAACAAAAATAAGGGACAGCATTTCAAAACGATAAGAAAGGCAACGCCTTGATCTTGTAATCATGACAGCCTCTCATATCATTTGACAATAGGTTATTCTACTCTGCAGCTCCTAAGCGGTTTTCCCCTCTCATAACCAAAAGGAAAAGACAATCATTTGCAAAGCGGTTGTTAAAGTTAGTGGAAACATGAAGATCCCCAGACCTTTTTCCAAGTCAAGTGCATGACTTTTAAGACTGCACACAATACTTTTCCTTAGAGTACAACCTTTAAAAACATTAAAAATCCACTCACGCTTGGTTGCATTGATGAGGTTCTTCCCATCTTTGTACAGTTCTTTGATAAATCTGTTCGTTTTGTCCAGTTCTGCTTCGTGAGACTTTATTTTCTCCCTGAAGCTGGGGCTGTCCAGATAGCATTCACTGAATTCCAGCGGGTGTAGTCCCATTTCTGTGACAGATTGATAGCTTCTTTTTCCAAGAACGGGAAACTGGGCGAAATGACGCTGACTGTGAAGCTTTTGAAAAAACTAGCTTTTACAATCAAATTGCCGCTCTTTCAGCTGGCAGTAGGTTTGAAGTGCAGCAGATAAAGCATAGCTACGTGTAGTAGCAGCAGCTAACGGTGGTTAGCATGGTAACTTCTGACACAGGCGCATGGGTGTTGTTCTACTGTTGTCAAGTAACGAAAAGAACAGCTAAAAGGTATAACGGTTAAAAGTTGATAACGATACGCTGTCGGGTGAAGTGCTCATGGGAAGTCGGTTCACGGGAGTTGTCAGAAAGTCATGGTAGCTGTATCCAGTTTTTCCTTGCTCCATCAAACGTACTCCACCTCACAGAGTGACAGATTGAGAAACTCTGCTGACATCTGTGTGCGTGTAGCAAAACTACTGACAAAGATTCTGACAAAGCTCCTGCAAGATGATCAACTCTAACCTACTTCCGCCTTCGCTTCGCTTCAGAGTGAGCAATGATTTACAGCACGAAAGATGTCAACAATGGTGTGTATTTAGATATGTTACTTCGGTAAAAGTGACAGTAACAGACTGAAACAAAAAACACAATTACAGTTTACATTTAATATATTATTTCAGAATAAAAGTTAATATGAATATGTATGTGACTGGTGGATACACTAATCAAAATACAATGTATTGCCAAGTATATTTACATATGGACTAACTTGGTTTCCTATACAATAAATATAATTACCAAAATATATACATATATATATGTACAATTAGAATATAAAGTTTAACACAAAAAAACTCTGATAAACAATATATAACACTTTCTTGTTTTAGACTGAAGAGCTAGGAAGAGCTGTGTGAAAATATATTCTAGGGCAGATGTTTCGAACTCTATATGATAAAGAAAAATGGAAGAGAAGAACAGTGAGCGAAAAGGGGATGCCATTGACCACGGCCCTGGGGCCTGCTAAGGCAAAGACTTGCAGCAAGGCAAGGGAAATTCAACAGAAGAAAAAGGAAAAGTGATCTCTTGATAGAATTCAGTACACCTCCCACATGGACCCTTTAGAGCAGGGGTGTCAAACTCAAATACACAGTGGGCCAAAATAAAAAAATCGGTACTAGTTGAGGGCCGGACTCGTTCAATGTTTATTGCAAAACTTATTGAAATGAACTTATTGCACATATTTTACATTACATGTTACTTGTTAGACGCTTTTATCCAAAGCGACTTACATACTCAATACAGTCGGCAATCCCCACAGGAGCAATTTGGGGTGAAGTGTCTTGCCCAGGGAAAGCATCTGAAATGTTTTGGCTCTATGAAACCTGATGTACTTATATGATTCTGTTTTCTTCAAGTTTGTATCTTCCTGGTCGAATGCACTTATCGTAAGTCGCTTTGGATAAAAGCGACAGCTAAATGCAATGTAATGTAATGTAATGTATTCTCATCTCGGGTGCAAGTTCATCAATGTTTGGGGTCAAGCTCTGAGCTGAGGAAACCCTCAGGATTGAATGAAGGTGTGCGTGCATTATACCGGCAGGCCAGATCTAATAGTAATCAAAAATTATCCTGTGGGCCAAAATTAAATCCACCACGGGCCTGATTTGGCCCCCGGGCCTTGAGTTTGACAAATGTGCCTTAGTGCCTCTAGTTGCCCTATACAAGTTCAATAAACAAGGTAATTCATCAAGAACACCAGAAGCCAAATCAAAACGATCACAGGGGACCAAATAGTGCTGTATAGACTTCAGAGGGGAACCTCCTGCACCGTGTTTTGACTGTCAGTCCCATGGATCATCACAAACAGTGGAACGGCTTTAAAGCTGTGCACTATAGGGTACTCGTCCCTTTAGGCCAATTTCAGCAGTAGTCACCTAGGTAATAGACTTCTACAAATATAATCAAAACAAGTAGATACACAAATATGTTCTGCTCAATCCATCACCCTTTAATTTTAAAGTGGATTGCCTGCTGTTATTCTGTCTCAGTCTCTGTCTCATTGAATGTGTTTTATTATGAGTATGTTGTGGTGTTAATGTTTAGGTTATTTTACTGCAGATGCATGTCCTCATGTCTGGAGCAATAGACTGAACAACAATTTAAATGCGGGATAATAATGTTTATCCTGAATCTGAATATACAACACATACATTGGCACAGATGCAAATGAACTCATTGCTTTCATGTTTTACTTTTGGGGTTGGCATGGGTGGGAACAATCCTGATTCATTGTACTCTTTGATTGTGCTTAAACAGTCTTCTGTCATTGGTTCCATAAGAAGAACATCTCAGGCGGGAACAACTACTTTGGCTTGTTTTGTAATTAAATACGGACATTGTTATTCAACGTGTTTTGTTTTTGTTTGTGTACAGTTATTATCATGGTAAAACTGCCTTTCTGTCACTCAAATGTATTAATCCTCTTTAAAATTCCGCACACGGAACCCTGTCTCCCTACATGTTTCTGACCGAGTCGTTTTACGAGCGGACACTTGTTCCTTGTTTAACGGTAGCCGCAATGTGATTTTATTTACACTTTTAATCAACATCTCAGCGTTGTAACGTGGATATTAAAACATACTGTCATTATTTTTGACATGTTGTTGACCTATCGTATCCCATATAGTCATCATGTGAGCTGACGCTGGGCTGCTGACAGAGGAGGGACTATAACGATGCTAACGATTGGACACACAACCGTAATGTTAACGTTATCACGTTAACTTAACAGCAGTGATATTTTCCGTGCATCTCCATCCCGTCCCTTAACTCAGCCTGTGATCTGTGACAACACACAGTAAGTCAACTAAATGTTAAGTACTAAAATGCTCTTTTTAATGTATCTTTGTTAAGGTATACATATTTCTACGTAATGTATTCTTCCTATTCATGTTGAGGTTATTATGATGATGGCAATTATTACTCTACATAAATGTGGCATGTGTTGATGCCCATTTGCAGGGACAAAAACAGATAAACTTATATTTGGGAATGAATAAAATAATATGCATTCATTATTAAAAAGTGTAACAGGATCAAAATACCAGAAAATCCCTTGCACATAGTTAAAATCATTTCCTGGCTGCAATTAAAAGAAGAGCCAGAATTCTGGTTGGTTGCAAATGGATCAAATACTTATTTCCCACAGTTAAATGCAAATGAATGTATATCTCTTATATCATGTACATTTCTGGATATTGTTTTTGATATTCTGTCTCTCATTAGTCAAATAAACCTACCATTACAATTATAGACTTTTATTTTCTTTGTGAGTGGGTAAACTTACCAAGTAGGCAAGGGATCAAATACTTATTTCCTCCACTGTATCATCTAAAAATTGTGACAAAAAATGTAAGTCGTTTCATGTCAACTCTTTTTCATCAGTGTTTTGTCTTTTACTGGGGGAGGTTGGCTTCTATAGTCCCTGGACCACACAGTACAGTACAGAGTCATATGTAGAACCTTGTTTTTAAAGTGGCATTAGGTGTTTATTGTATGATGATTTAATGTTCTAATACCCTCTCCTCCACTCTCTTTAGTTGTGACAGGGATGCCTAATGCCAGTGCCAGACCGAAGCACGGCAGGAGGACCCGCCGGCGGCGCAGAGAGGACCCCGCCAGGAACGAGCTGGTCTCCAGCTCTCTGGAGAGCGCCCAGCAGTGCCTGTTCAACCAGGACTATGGAACTGCGTTTGTGCACTACCTTCTGGTCCTCAACCTTGCGCCTATGTTTAAAGACTTTGCTAGGGTAACGACCGACTGTGTGCATTCACTGCCAAACATTGTGCATACCATACACAACATAGTCTGTTTTTTTCTCTGCTGCATCATTTAAATATTTGTTGTGAACTTAATTTTGTGACATTTTTCTTCTAGGAGTCCTTCAGGTTCACTCTCTTTAAGTGGACAGAAGAGCTGGACTCTGTGGGCCGCATTCAGGAACTCTTTGACTGTTATGAACAAGCGCTGGAACTGTTTCCTGCTGATGAGGTGATCCTGAACAGCATGGGGGAACACCTTTTCAGGTATGCTCCTCATCTGCATAAATATTGTCATTGCGTAGATAAATGCATAATTACAATGGGCCAACACTTCTGTTATTACAAGGGAAAGTGTAGCTTTACATCGTTGATCATTTGGACATATGAACCAAGATCATCAGACTCTGGGACAGTTTTGTCCTTCGGGCGATTAGAATGTTAAACTCCAGAGCATTGCATTGTTGAAGTAATCTGGGACTAAAGATCAAAAAGTATCTGAATAAATGCTCTGCTTATACAGTTTAAAGGTCCCATGTCATGGCCATTTCTACTGATCATATTTCCATTGTTGAGGTCTACTAGAATAGATTTAAATTGTGCAATTTTCCAAACTCACATTGGTTTCTCATCCAGCACTCTGTCCTAAACGGCTTGTTTGAGCTCCTGCCCCCCTGTGAGCCCAGTGTGCTCTGATTGGTCAGGAAGTTGCGAGGCTCGTTGCTGCTCGTGAGGAGCGGACAGGTTTCCGGGTCGGCGATACAGCGAGAACAAGCGAAACACAAAAGTGTGGCTTGATATTGAAAAAGAAAAAGGTTTATAACGCTGTGAGAATGGGTCTACGGAGAGCATTTCTCCGCCATCCCAACTCGTCTATTACCAGCATTCAGGGAGCTCTATGCAAGTCAATGGGGACTCCCTGTTAGTTAGCCAAGGGATCCGGGTGGGTGAGGTGCTCCGCGGATTGGTCCATTTGGGCCAATCTGGTCATTTGTTGTTGATTTGGGTGTTCACACGTCACAGAACCCAGGAAGCAAACAATGGAAAATGAGAAATCTCCAACGAGGCGTTCTGTGGCAGCATAGACAGGTCTTTTCTGTGTAAGAGTTTTACTCGCTACAGGGTGTACTTTGAGGGTTTGTGACTCTGCAGACCGTTCACATGCATACAAACCTTCATAACACACAAGGGGACGGGTAATAACCGGAAAAGCATGACATGGGCCCTTTAAGTCTATATTGTGGCTCTCCTTTTCTTATCCAGAATGGGCTTCAGAGATGAAGCCGCGGGGCATTTCCATAAAGCCTTGAAGCTGAGACCGGACTATCCCGAAGCCAGGGAGAACTTCTACCGCGTGGCCAACTGGCTGGTGGAGCGCTGGCATTTTTTAATGCTCAACGACCACGGGAGGAACAGGAAGTACCAGCAGGCCATTCAGAAGGCTGTGCAGAGCGGCTGCAACACTGTGCTGGACATCGGTACTGGCACTGGCATCCTCGGGTAAGACATTTCCCATGAGAAATTGGAATCCTTTTTTCTCATTTGAGTCATTGTGCTTAGGGGCTGCATGATTATCTTGTTCTGATGTGCTGGTTCTCTCTGGTTAGTATGTGTGCAAAGAAAGCAGGGGCTGCTGAGGTGTACGCCTGTGAACTGTCCAAGACCATGTATGAATTAGCCTGTGAGGTGCTAACAGCTAATAAAATGGATGATGGCATCAAGATCGTCCATATGAAGTCTTTGGAGATGGAAGTGCCAAAGGACATCCCACAAAAGTAAGTTATACCAAACATACTTGACATCAAATGTGCAAACAATAGCTTTTTATCTTGGTTTATGCTTTTATGTAATTTTAGGAGTGCAATATCTCATATTTTTCTATTCAATGTTTTGCTCTTAGGGTTTCCTTGGTGGTGACAGAGACGGTAGATGCAGGATTGTTTGGAGAGGGCATCATAGAAAGCCTCATTCATGCCTGGCACCACCTGCTGCTGCCTCCACAGGTACGGGCCATTTATAAACACACACAGAGGACAGGAAACAGGACTTAGTGCTCCAGTTGCCACTTACAATAATAATGTTTCTATGAGTTCTCTGACCCAAAGTCTATTGGTGTTTGCTAGAGTTGAAAGCGCAAAGAGGTTATTGTTAAATGGGGTCTGCTCTCTGTTCCGAGAATAACCACTAAACATGGAAAAGCAGCTTTTAGTTATTATGCCCCAACAATTTGGAACAAACTGCCCAAATCGTGCACGTCCGCCGAAACACTTCCTATTTTTAAATCCAGATTAAAAACGCACCTATTTTCCGCTGCTTTTAATTGAGCTGCCCATACTCAAACTACAGTATGCCTTTTTAGTCATGTATTCTGTACCTGCTGTGTTTATTTATTTATTTTATTTCATTACCTT